ACTATGAATCGATCAGTATCTCACTGCCCTCTTTTGAATGATTCCACTCTCGAACTGTTTATATGCAAAGTACTTTCGGTTTATTGAGTAAAAGTAAGATAATTTCATTAAGAACTACATAGGAACATGAATACATAAACAGATCAGACAGTCCATTTGTTTGTACTAGATTATGATTAAAGTCAATGCAACTCACTAACCAATTGCAGCTTCATGTAGTTCGCTTTCGTCTACATCTTTCATGTAAGCTAGTAAAGCTAACCGGCCAAGTAAACCGAATTATGTGTAACAGGCTTCAAACTCGTAATTTACTAACGGAAAGTTGAGCTTTACAAATACTGACAGCAACCGAATCTAAAGTGTTGTGCTATGGTATGAAGAATAGACAGATACGTTTCCTTGTTCATCATATCCATCAATAAAATTGCAATAAATATTTGTTTATTATGAGTATCCACCCGTCAGAATCCGTTCGTATTCGACAAATAATCTAAGACCTGGATTTACACCACAGTTTTGTTCTCTGTAAAACCGTTGGCTCATATCTATTCAAACCCTTATTTAAAAGCATAGAATGCAACCCAAGTGAGAAAGTGGAACAGTAATTTTGTAAGACAGTTTAGTAAATTTATTACAGTAAACAATTAAGAATTTATGTACTTGATACACTTACTAACACAAATGAGCTCGAAAGTAGATAGGCGTCATACAAACTCGAAAGTAAAATTGTCAATAAATTAAAGAAAGATTAAAATCAAAAACAGCTAGATGAACAAAAACAAATAAACCAAAATAGTTAAGTTAAAAACACGAAGTTCAGCGAATGGGTCTCTTCCCAACGAATTTATTATCAAGCTGTACAATCATATACATACGAGATTTTTTTGTTAAAGTACTAATTCCGTGAGGAAATGTGAACACGAATAAACAAGATGACGTAATAAAAAGGTTATAATACTAGATTACGTAATACGAATAATAACAATAGATTTAGTGAATATAATAAGATGATTAAAATGTTTTTGTTACAATAATTAAAGGTCATTGAAAGTCATAGAGGTGTAAAAATAAACGGTGATATGATGAGTTTTTATTTATTTATTTCAACACATAGATATTGGTACAAAGAGGCACCAAATACATATGCCCCACACAAATCTCATTCGATATGTGTGAGGGCTGTGATACTGCCCGGGTGCACAAACCGAAACAGGTGGTTTTCTTAGGGGGCCAAACCCCGAGCCTTCGACCTGAAGGTCTGGTCCACAAGGCAGTGAAGCATCGTAAGGAGATACAGTCCCATGGTAGCCGGTGACCAACGACTGGTTCATACGCCATCTGTTCCCTCTGGGTACCGGAGCCCATGTGCACCATTGGTTTGGAATCAGGGTTTTCCAATTCCCCTAGGTGGGCTCTCCGTGTCCACCAACCCGGTTAGAGCGCCGGGCATTTGAACTTCTTACCTTTTGTGGAGAATTTGGAAGCATACTACATCAGAGTCGCCACTGGTTTGTGTTCTGAGCCGTATCTGATAGAGTCCAACGCCAGTTAGTCGCACCCTTTCTAGGACCACAGTTAGAAAATTGTAACAGACCGACAGACATCAGTCCCATACAGTTTTCTTTCAAACCACTTTTCTCACCTAGAGTCCGCGATTACTGCACTACATGTAGGTTGCTACGATTGTATCGGTAAACTGTTTTCATGCTACTAAAACCATTGTGCCAAGATAGTGACACTGACTGCATTTTCATCACTGTGCCCGAACACACATAGTCCAATCACAGAAATATTAAAATGACATTTAATGAAACCTAATGGTCGGGACGTAATTTCGGGTTAGAAACAGCGACAACAAATATCAAGGGACACGTCTTTTTTTAACTGCGTCCAGATTACTATTCTGTCACACTGTCTGAACTACCCAAATCTCGCGGGGAGCAGGGAGGCTTCTAACCAGTATAGGGGATTGATCATATATACCCTCCGCCAAATGTTAGAGCAGCGCCATGTTTACCTCAAGCCAAATCATTTTTTCATGATATTAGGACCGTCTCTGACTATTCGGACAGGACTGTGCCCTGGAACTTCAGAAGTGTTTAAGAACCTTAGCAAGATCTTGAAGGTTTGTTCACAAACACATCGAGCAGAGTAAGGGAATACTGCTTTGCACCACCACTCCAGTTTAGCAGTAAAGTTATATACGGTTACTAAAACTCATCGTTCCTCTTTAACTTTTTTGTTGATGGCTCCGAAGCACATGGTGGTATGGATCTGTCATCTAGAGAAAGACTTCGATCTTGGGCAATATTGTCCTACTGCGGGATGACACGCAAGCTACGCAAATCATCAGTTCTCAATAGGTGCTTGTAGGCATGACAAGCATTACACAAATCGTAAACACTACTGTAGTATTGGTAGGAATCTGTGCTGCGCTTACACTTTGGAGTGACCCATTACATGAAGGTAGGAATTTTGTGTGTTTGAGTCGCTGTCTCAGTGTTGGTGTGCGTTATGACATTATTTAACTTATAGTGAGTGCTAGAGGAGTTTATGCCAAGCTGGTCCATTCTTTTCACCGCCGTGATGTTTGTCTGACTGTCAAAGTCTGAGTTTATGTGCTTTTGAGGAGAGTTCTGTTTAATTCCTCAGTACTCTGGGCCAAGTATATTTGTTTTCAAATACCGTTATCTCCGAAAGACTACTAATATCCAATGGCAACACCAGGTTCAGTAATGCGTGCTAGGGAGTCAGTTAAGATGACCTGATTAATGCCACCATCCTGAAACACCATTCTGTGGCTTGGACTTGTGAAACGGACGCCGCTTCAACAGCTTTCAAATTATGCGTTAATTACTGACGCTTGGACTGATTAGGAGGTCATACCTAGTCATTTTACGATGTGGTGCCATGCTATGCATGAAGTTGTATGGGAATGACATCTGTCGGTCCATCAAAACATCCTGGCTATGGTCTTGGACGTGATGCTATTCAGTGACTCAAGACTACCAGGCATAGCTTAAAACACAAGCCAGTGGTAACCCTGCTGTAGTTTGCTTCTATATTCTTCATAAATTTGTGCGGCACATCTAGGACTGAAAAATTCTTCCTGGCCATACTTTTTTAAATTGAATTGCCTTGTTTGTTTTTACCCAAAACTTTGTACACTTTCCTTTGTTTAGTATTTGTGTTTCTTGTCAAACTAGCGCTTAGCCAATGCAGTTTAACATTTCTTAAGGAGTTCTAGGCAATATGTATAAATTCAGTACCTAAAAGCGAGAAATGTGGCACTCCATACTCACACCATGAAGGCATCGGATGCTGGAATTTGTCGGTGGCTAGAAATATAGTGCTGACTACGCAAAGCCTCAGGTGACAGCTAGTGTTTTCCGATCTGCTACTAAAAAAATCCTCACTAACTAATACAGACACCCAGTCTGCGCATTCAAACCGGCAAGCACTGCCATGTCTGTCGAACGTGTTTTCTAGAGACTATTTAGCCGATGGTAGGACCTATTTCTAATTGAGTCTGGGTTGTAATCTGTCGGGGTTTGGACCGAAACAACACAAAGATACCTTGTCTTACACCGACTCCCCCGAAGTTTCTTGAACCTTTCTAACCTAACGGCAAATAACTGGCTATCGGTCAGCGCTGGTGTCTAGTACGCCACTAACAGAACTGGAACAAGATGCCATATGATGCCCGAGGAAATGCACACAAAACAACTTTTACGAATTGAAAGACCAAGCAATTATGTAGTACCACACTAGTCTGAAAAATGTGTCATATATAGAGCAGTAATTGATTTCAAGACTTTCCAAGCATACGCGTTGGGCATGCCCCGTGCAAGATTGTGTCAGGGCACGCTCATTGGTTATTTTTTAACCAATCAGCGCTAGCAGAGTCCTGAAGAAGACTCTAAAATTTTCTTATGTAAAAATTATAAATTACTAACGTTTTTCTTATTGTGATTCCTACCTCCATTCAACCCTTTCAATTGGAATATAATCACGTTCCTGTTCAATCGTGTTCTGACTTGAGACTTTTCGAGTAAAGAAGTGTCCACGAATACTAAGCATTAGGAGAAATTATAACAGTCGTGTTCTTAGTAGCCATTCATTGAGCTGTTGACTAGAGCGTCAAGTCCACAAGGTAGTCGATGGACGTCCAGAAATACAGTCCTGTGATAACCAGTGACAGAAGTGGATTGATACAACGTTCGATCTTCTAGGACCGTGGAACCTATACGTACCATTCGTTTGCAACTAGGGTCTTCCGACTCCCCCTGTGTGAATCCTCCGGAGCCACCTACGTAGTCTAGGCGTCCGACATTCACTACTGGCTCTCTCACTTTCGTAAACAAGAAAGCAGTAAGTTGGGCTTCTGCAATGACTATAAACCCGTGGTCATATGACAGCATTCCGATAGAAGAGACAGACTTCCCCCACACTCATACGCACAATAACATTAGGGGGGAAAACAAGACTGAAACCTCGTGTTTCTCATTAACTTGATACGAATGTGAAGCTACAAGAAACACAACACAATTTGTATTTGGAGTACAAGGTTTTCAGCAAATATCTATTTGTATACACTGGTTCTCGGCATTATTTTCAATGTGTTGTTTTACAGGTCTCTTACCTCGTGTGCCACTACGCGTTCTTCCTTCGGACTATGAGAATGCACCTCAATTTTCATTTGAATCAAATGCTGTTTGCCTACTCCTATCGTGGCTGGTTACAATAATGGGACTCGGATTCATTTGTGCGACAGCAGTCGTGCGATTACAATGGTTTACTTTTTTTCTTAACCACATATCTACTCTGAATTTCTTTCTTGGTAACTTTAATGGACGGCAACACTACAGTGGTTAATTTGACGACTTACACTTATTTTCAAACTGTATATTTCGACTGTCATTATTAGCTTGAAAATGTGTATAGGTAATTTTTCACTTTTTTTTCGAAAATGTGTCACAAAATTTATTTTATCATACTCATCAGCTGTTGAGTAGACCAGTTCCAACACATATGAGCAAAACTCCAACAGACCCTAGAAGTTTATATACAGATAACTTTAGTTGGCAACAACGTACCGCTAAATTCCATTTTTTCATGGTAAACACATGAGCTTGTAAGTGCTGACGCTAGTAAAGCTGTTGAGTTTGCTATCGCTACACCTCTTGACAATCCTAAAAGTCAGATTTTTGTTTATGGTTACTTACGTGTATATCTGAATCCAAACATCAACAAGATAGAGGCGGATTGATTCAAGAAAAAAAACGCCAAAAGCTGCGAGATAGTTCATGAAACAAGAATTCTTACTTTGAGCATTTTGTTAGAGTTATATTTCATACAGATATTAGTACTTCCCCATATCAATCCAACTATCAACGGCAGTAGTACCTCGAACATGACTTAGCTGAAAATTTAATACACAATTATAATTCTACTGTGTTGATAGTATTTATTATTCACTGAACACACCTCGAGGATGCTGATTTTGTCACTAAAAGATAAGCTGATTAAAGTAGCACCATTGTGTACTTTCATAATAAATACGAATTCGACTAAGGCGAATGAATTTGAGATCTTAATAGTGGTTTCAGTGACAGTAAATGATAAAGATCAGTTTCCTATCTGTATGTATATATTATTAAGTGATTAAGCAAAGAAAAACCGAGACACTGGTGCGCTCTCAGATTTCGATACAATTATGTGTATTAAGAGAACCCCACTCTTAGTTTTTCGTAGTCATTATTTTACACATGTCTGACAATGTAACAAGCGCCCTGTTATACACTTCGTACGATGAATTGTGAGCCAGTATTTGGTTGCAGACACGCGTGGTATTCACGGGAAGTCCATTATCATCTTGTTTAGTAAAAACAAATCTCAGTATCGCCTTAAAGTAGTACGGATTTAGCAAACTAAGTAAAGTTTCCACTAACGTATGTTCGTTGTGTTCATAAGTGTTTGCCACAACCCTGATCGTACTCATTGAGATTTAAGGATGTACAGGGTCAAGAGTACTGAGAGCACTTTATTTACACGTACTCTTCGTCTATATGAAAAATGCTATGTGTTAGTAGTCACTATAGTGAAAAAAACCTATACGTTTTCTACCTCAAACTATCTATACGTCAATGCTAATAAAAATATTTATATAAAGTACTCACATGTTACCCTATGTAAACTAAATTCAGTCTTAAGTAATAAGGATAGTAGGTTGGTGAATCTGTGTTAATCTTGACAGATTGCCTTCCAGTGAATGTTCTGCTTCTTGAAAATATTCACAGATGGGGCTAATACCACTTGTTTGGGTAAGGCGTTCTAATATTATAATAGATTGGGAATTCTCCACAAGACATTAGTTTACAACAGATAAATCTCGGCAAGAATATAGTATATTGACAATGAGCATTATCATGAGCCCAGCTCTGGATATGAATGAGACCATAAAGACGGACCCCATTGACGAAGCGGATAACAAACACACGGATGTAGGCATTGTTGCAAAAAAAGGAGCACGCTCAAAAGAAACTAATATATGCAGCATAAAGGTATATGAATCTACGGCTTTTATTCCGGATTAACATAACAACCTAAAACAGACTATGTGGGAGCAAAGCCTAAGCGTACAATCAACCAACAAAAAGGACTAAAGCGTAAATAAAGATGAAATGTCGCTTTTTCGCCTTCATGTCGGTTAATTATTAGGAATGTTGATTTTCCCACCTTACGTCGTGTGTTTGGGCTGTATTCGTCGACACACATACGTAACGTACGTGTTAGAATGTGCCGCATCCCGTACTAATGTTTTCAATCACGTCGACAAAATAACGCATCGTTTAGTAAAAATAACTATCGTCATAAACACAAGTAACAAAATACGGACACAAGTATTTGGCTGAGACACATACAATGACTTTGTTTTTTCTTTAGCTAAAGTGTTCCGACGTGCCTGGTAGCAATCACAAATAACTAACGTGATGCAAGTGAGTGACGTGCTCTCCGTTTTTCATGTTCATTGTAACTAGTTACTTTATTAGTCCAATATGATGAGTTCAATTAAAGTCACTGAAAGAACTCTTAGACGTAAGGCAACTATAAACTTGTCAAGCGTCCTTGGCTGTCATAGATGGACCTATGACAGACGGTGGAATATAATAAGGACAGCTTTCATGAAAAAAACATAACTTACTTTTGTTTAGTCAGTTCGCTAATAAAAGCACGGTCAAAGGTAACTGACTTTAACAGTGGTGTATTTTTATTTGATAGCAGTCGAGATGGAAATTAATTGTAATGAGAATCCTTGGGTGATCTTATCCGCAACGCAACCATGTAAACTTAATGTACCGGTCATCTGTGCGTTCAAGTAACCACAGATTTTGACATTTCATAATGTATTTTTAATTAAATAACTAGATTATATAGCTAATTTTGATCTTTTTTATATTTTTATTCGCCACGTTCGACTGCGTTACACTGCACGTCCATTGCATGCTGGTATGATATCTAAAGTCATAGTGAGTTTATTCACATAGTTGATTGTTTCCAGATAGACTGTCAGTGCATGATTTTACTGTAGAAAGGTTTATTGTACTATAAACTATGTTTTTATGAACAACTACCTGTTGTTTTCAGTATATATATATATATTCTTTGTCTTCTGTTCGGTAAGTTCAATTGGCCTATATTTCGTGTTTTTGTTTTATCGTCTTAATTATGTCCATTTAACTACTTTAAGCAATATGCCTGTGCAAATGAAACAATAACTATGACACTTGCTTAGTTTAGTATTCTTGGTTGTCGTATAATTCAGTTTAGTTGAAAGAATTATGGTATAGTGCTTGAAGTCTGTAACGAAACAGATCAGCCTAGTAAGTAGAGTTGCCTGTTTCTGATGAGTATACTGATTCAAATCAGTCTGACTAAAAATAGGAAAAAAGTGCTTTTGGTACTGTTGCTGTCATACATTATAAGATAGCGATAAGTATGTTTGGTGTTTATTTCTAGATTGTACATCTATCACTGACCATATTTCATGATCACTGTCATTAAACAATTTCCCCAGCAATAACATCGGTAGCAGGATAGCTAAGTGTCTGAGCTTTTATTTGCCCGCAGAAGAGCAGTATACAGTCTTAGAAGATGTGTCTTCTGTATCTCAATTAAATGCAGTTGGCTGTGGCCAAATGTTAAGAATCTTTTTGACAACTAGGACTTTTAGTTCATCAAACAATAACTCTGCTTGTATGTCTCCCTGTTAAACTAGATGCAGATACATGGTAATACTTAAATGAGAGCAAAATAATAAACGCATTGAGATACGGTATTAAGTCCATGTTATGCTTTGCACAATAAATAGCTGACCTGACCTAATATTCATGAACTAAAGGTAAATCACAACTGCATAAATTCTTTGCTAAAATACATGTAATTTGGTTATTTATCTATTCCACATTTCTGACTAAATTCATTACTGTTTTCTCATTTAGAATGCAACAGGACTGAGTCTTCACAGATGTTAAGAACTGTTTCGCCCTTAGAACTATGGCCCTATGGATCTGTTTACGGGAGACCCAACTAACATCAGATTATAAAAAGGATGCTGGATGTCCATTTTAATCTCACAACCACTTCCAGTACTTTTCGAGTTACTTCCTTTACCCTTTCGTTTGGAAAAAACAACAAAAACTGCAGCTTAACATTACAAATGCAACTTTTAGACTGGAACTTGGTTTAAACCTTTGTTTCATATTCGATTCTTAATGAAAGTTCTCGAATAAATTTTCGAACCTAATGCTACTTTGTTTTATCTACTTAATCGTTGCAAGAAACTTGTGATAATCGAGCCTCTCATCACCTAATTCATGTGTTCAGGCTTCCGTGTCTAGTGGCAGGGGATCACCAAAACCTCCAAGCAGGAACCTAGGTATGTTAACAATAAAAGATCCAGTCGCCTCCCAAATGACTCCTGGGAAGTCGCTTGGACTAGTTCGGCGGGCAGCGAATTCCAGCATTCGACAACTCTTAAGGAGTAGAAGTTGCGTCTACAGTCCATTCTGCTATGTCGTGTCTCTAGTTTCTGGGACTAAGCTCAAGTAGGTGTTTAAGAAAATGTCCAGAAGTGTTAAGGATCCTGTAAGTAAATAGGTCACCTCTAAGACGTCTATACTTTAATGAGTAGAGGTTAAGTGATTGGAGGCGCTCTTTATAAGGTGATTTGGTGCATATATCCGTCATTTTCTTGAGAAACCTACAGGCTCGGGTCCTCTCACAACTTATTCTAGCCACCATGAGTTGCCACGAAAACTGGTGGATGGACACGCGTTACACATCCTAACCGTCCCTGCGTCTAATCTCATAGCTTCTTATTCAAATGTCATATGATAAGCAAGTAATGCTTCTACCGACACTAATGGAACACGAGTAATTCAAAGGCACCCTGTATGGTACTTTAGATTGGTCTACGCACTCACTTAGCTCTTTAGTGGGAATATTACTACAGTCCTGCTAAGAAACCCATGAACCCCCCTACCACCATCAAAACAATAAGTCTGTATTTGCTGCATATAGCAATTTTATTTTTTAGAAGATATAACAGTAAGAATTGGAGTAGAATAACAATATACAACAGATGCACGTGGTACATGTCTTCATCGATCATCTGAAATAGAGAATACGGATATTAGCTTAACATGCTTATTTAGAAAGACTAGTGTTTACTTTGAACTTACTGTGTGAGAAAGTTATACTGGGACTGTGAATAATGTAGGAATCTAGTCTCCCAGGGCGTAAGAAGCACTCAAACTGGAAGACAGTTGTCACAAATTAATTCGAATATGAAGTTGAGAATTTGCAAGTACTTTTCATCGTAAAGGTGAACATATTAGATAACGGTTGACATCATACCGTAAAAATAACAAATTTGCGAGTGGTGAATTATGGTCTATAAAAAGCTGAGCTTAATAACAGTTAGTTACCTTTTTACTCCCTGATCATGACCCTTCGGCTTCCTTTTGTGGCCAAAACAGCAAACATACACTACACACTGATAGCAGATTTCCGGCTTTTCAATGTTAAGCTTGCTTTAACGCACTACGTAATGCGTACAACTCCTCCATTACTGCTATGTGGCATATTTTTTCATAACAAACCCTCTGCAATAGATTGGTAGCATCTGTGAATTTGTCTATGGTTGTCGGAAGCCTGAGTACTTTCGAAAACAATACTGACATCCCCTACTGCTAGGCACTAAGTATTAGTTTGACTCATTGGTGGGATATTGTTGTCCGCAATACTGAAGAAAATTAAAAACCGGAAATTGTTTCCTTTCATTTTGCCGATAACATCATAGAGGACAGTTAGGAATGAACATGCGGACAGTTAGTCACAAGAAGCAGCAACAG